GGGAGGGAGGGCGGCGGGGAGCCCCGGGGAGGGAGGGCGGGAGGGCGGCGGGGAGCCCCGGGGAGGGAGGGAGGGAGGGCGGCCGTCGTTCCCGCGCGGTCTCCGCCAGGCCCCGGCCCCTGGAGGCGCTCAGACCCCGCCTTCGCCGCAGCGCTGGGGGCGCTTCGTGCGGGTTTTAGCCGAGGAGGCCGCACCCGAGTCCCGCACCCGCACGGCGCGGGGGCTGGGGCGCAACCCCGGGCAACACGTCCCGCGTCGCCAGGCTGCCGATTTCCGCGCCGCTGCGCGCGACACCCACTCGGCTGAGATGGCGCCCGCCCCCGCCCGCGGGACCGGAGGGCGCATGCGCGCTGGGCTGGCGGGGCGGGGCCTGTCGCGCGAGGGGCGGGCGCTGCTCCCAGGAACCTGCGCGCGGCCGGACGGTGTTTCCCGGGGGCCGCTTGGCTGGCGGACCCGGGCGGGCGGCGCGGAAGCGGGCGGCCGTGGGACGCGCGCGGAGCCGCGCGGCGGGCGGGACCGGGCCGAGCTGGAGGGCGCGGGGGAGCGGGGCTCGGGCGGCCCCCGAGGCCCGGCGGAGCGGGCTTCTGGGGCGCCTGCGGCGGCGCCGGGGGAGCGGGCTGGGGATGGGGCGCCGAGCCGGGCGGCGGCCGGGGCCTCGGCCATGTTCGCGGGGCTGCAGGACCTGGGCGTGGCCAACGGCGAGGACCTGAAGGAGACCCTGACCAACTGCACGGAGCCGCTCAAGGCCATCGAGCAGTTCCAGGTGCGGCGCGGAGCCGGGCCTGGCGGAGGCCCCGGGGCTTCCCGGCGTTCTGGGGGCTGTCCCGAGCCGCGCCCGTTTGCGGGGCGCTGGGCGGCTTCCGGTGGCCGCGGCTGCCCCCGCACGGCCGGGCACCCCGCGGTCGTGCCCCCTGTGCCCGCAGGACTTAGGGGTGCCCGCGCGCACGGGGCGGCGGCTGACCTTTCGCTTCCTCAGACGGAGAACGGCGTGCTGCTGCCCTCCCTGCAGTCGGCCCTCCCCTTCCTGGACCTCCACGGGACGCCGCGGCTGGAGTTCCACCAGTCGGTGTTCGACGAGCTGCGGGACAAGCTCCTGGAGCGGGTGTCGGCCATCGCTTCGGAGGGCAAGGCAGAGGAAAGGTGGGTGGGCGGCCCGGTGTGCGGCCGGCCTCTCAGCCCGGGATCGACGGGGGGCCTCGATCGCGTCCTGGCTGCGCAGCCTTGCCCCCAGAGGCGGCCTGGGCTGTGTCTGAACGGCCTCTTGCCCCTCGTGTCCTGCGCGTGGCGGCCGGTGTCCGTCCGGGACGCGCAGCCCATCGCCACGCCATCAATCGTGTGAGCTGTTCCAGGTACAAGAAGCTGGAAGACCTTCTGGAGAAGAGCTTCTCCCTGGTCAAGATGCCGTCCCTGCAGCCCGTGGTGATGTGCGTCATGAAGCACCTGCCCAAGGTAGAGCCCCGACCCTGACCCGAAAACGCTGCTGGCGCTGGTGTCCAGTGAGCCGCCTGCCTGAGTGCTGTCCATGGTGGCTCCTGTGCTGGCGTTTCCCACGTGAGCCGTGTGGAGACAGAAGCTTGGCACTGGAGTTGGGGTGCGGGGCCCCTTCTGGGAAAGAGCTGTGGGTATTTAGCACGTCTGCCTGAACCTGCTGGGACCGGGGGCCCAGTCATAGGTGCCCTGTGGGGTGGGGCGTGGCTTGAAGTGGTCTCTCGGGGGCTGAGGCCTCTTGGCTTGTCTCGAGGGGAGACCCAGGGACACAGATGCCGCTCACAGGCAGCCTGTGGTGCCGTGTAGGTTCCTGAGAAAAAGCTGAAGCTCGTGATGGCCGACAAGGAGCTGTATCGGGCCTGCGCCGTGGAGGTGAAGCGGCAGATCTGGCAAGACAACCAGGCCCTCTTCGGGGACGAGGTCTCCCCGCTGCTGAAGCAGTACATCCTGGAGAAGGAGAGCGCGCTCTTCAGCACAGAGCTCTCCGTCCTGCACAACTTCTTCAGTCCATCCCCCAAGACCAGGCGCCAGGGCGAGGTGAGAGCGGACAGGCCGCGGGCAGGGTGGGGCACCTCTTGGGGGTGCCATGGCCAGCTCCTTCAGCTACCTGGGGATCGACTGTTTGCTGCCTTGTGAATGGCAGGGTGGTTCTGCTCCTGGCAGGTGGCAGGGCAGGGGACTTGTGCTAGAAGGAAGGCTGGTGGCTTTTCTGTTTGTATGTATTTTACTTTTGATTAAAGCCATATGTGGACAAGGTTAAAATCTGCAGAGAGGCCCCTAATGAGAAGTTACAGCACCCTCCCCTCCTAAAAAGCTACTTCTGTTTGGTTCTTCACCTTTCAAGTATTTCAGTTATTTGTTGGTATGGTTGCAGTTGAGTTATTTGCTTTTCGTTCTCCAGAGGACAGCAAATCCAATGTCCTGCCTGTTAACAACGTTGGCATTATTCTAAACTCAAATTTTCTGGCGGTTTTGTTTTATTTTATTTTATTTTATTATTATTTTTTGAGACAGAGTTTCACTCATGTTACCCAGGCTGGAGTGCAATGGCGCGATCTCGGCTCACCGCAACCTCCGTCTCCTGGGTTCAGGCAAT